GAAAAATATAATTCAGACACACTACATATTACACAGCATCGAATCTCACTTTAGCAAGGGTGTCATTGGTGGCTCCGACATCCAGAATGAGGCAGAACATGTAATACCCAGGAAATCTACTATTCTCATACATCATACCTTCCCCTGAATAATTCTATCACAGATGAGCGGTCGTGAACATATGCAGGGTGGCTGAAAAGTATAGGACGCCACATTCGTAATCGTAACTTCAAAGATAGAGGCCAGAGAGACAAATAAACTTAATGAGGAATAGAGTAGAATTACAAAATCACTTAGGACAGCAGGTGTTCAAAGTTCAATCCTTTTGCTCTTACACAGGCCTACAGACTCTCGATGACTGAATTGACCGTACGCCGCAGGTAGTCGACGTCGATATTGACCCACGCCTTCTGAAGCGCCAACTTCTGAGCGTCGAACGTGCGGTAGGAGCGTCCTGCGATTTCGCTCTCCAAGTACCCCCATACAGAGAAGTTCATTGAATTGAGATCTGGCGGAGAGGAAGGTCAGATTTCTTTACTTCAGTAACCGGGAAGTGCGCGTCCAGTACGGCCTTTCTCGACTTCGAGGCATGAGGAGAGGCCCAATATTGCTGAAGGACGAATTCGGGTTACGAAAGTGTTCAGTGACCCAGGGTAGCAGAGCGTCCATTGAAACTACCTTTTGGTGGACCTCTGAGTTGATTTTCACATTTCTGCCGATGAAGACCAAAGTTGTTTTGCTTTCTGATGTCACCCCGGCCCAAACCATAACACTTTTATAAGTTAGCCTGCTGTGCACAATACAACGTTTTGGGGACCTGGTGTCAGCTTTTGACAACAACTTTCTCTGGTTTTGGGCTCTCGAAAAAGTTTTTGCATTTTATCAGTCGACTTTGCTTGGACTGCTCTAAAAGAAACTGTCCTCGACGGAGCCGATAATTGTTCAGCTTGAGGTCGCGTTTTGCAATTTTCTGAATGGTTTGACGGCTGATGTTGGGGTCAGAAGCAATCCGATTCATTTTGACTCCATAGTTGCGGGTGGTCCTCCTCCTGGTGGTGTCACGAATCCTCGGTGTGTTCACTGCTCTCGGTCGTCCCCTTTTTGGCATCGCAGAGGCTCGTCCTCGATTCCTGAGAGCAGCGGCAACATTCCGTACGGTTGATGAGGGAACACGGAGTCGTTTCGCAATGTCGCAGCTCCTGAAATCTTCTCTGAGCAGCTTCTCGATAGTGGGTCGATGCGCAAAAATTTTCGTAGCGACTGTTCGGGCGAACGGTCAATCGAATGATTTATATGGAATCTTCTGTAGATCCCAAGCTTTTTAAAAGTCCCACAAGATTCTGAAAATACCCATTGGCAGGGTGCCAGCAAGCGTCAAGCGGCGCGTCCTATTTCTTTCAGCCACCCTGTATTGCACACGTTCGCGTGCGCAGCCAAACTGGTAGAAAAAAGGGCCCTTTGATGAACCACGACTTTATTCTGCTGTTATGTTCTTATCAGAATGTTTACATGCACAAACGATGAGGGTACAAGATTTTTGGCGTTAAGCACTTCCGTCAGATAGCCCTATTCAACTTAAATTCAAAATCCTACTGGCGGTTTGAATGCGTATGCGGCCTGCACATGCCTTTCAAAGGTTAGCTGTAAAAAGTTAGTGCTTCTATGCTAGCAGGCGAGGGTGTATTAACCGACCCTGGAGTGTTGGAAGGCTTGGTCGGCCTAGGCGAGTACCGATCCAATGTTCAAATCCTGGATCATGTGTGTGCATAGTGTGCCACTTGCCACTACACTACTTCGTAGTCTCTTAATATAAAGCGAACCTTATCACGAGCAGGAGCGTTGGAGTGGCTGAAATGGGAACCACATTAAGCTGAGTAAAATAATGATGAAGGTTGTGCGGAGTAAAACAACCGTGGATCAATACTCATCCTGACCAACTAGCCATAATTGGCGCTAGGCCTATCTGGGAACATAAAAGCGTTTATATCGGACGGCCACCGAAAGTCATTCATCTTATAGGGCGAAACAAGCATTCAGGACGGCAACACGTTTCTTAATGGAAATGGAGTGCGGGGGCGCACTCCAACAACGGATTCCATCCCAATGCTATCAGTGTGATTCATTTCCATTGCAGGACAGCATTCAGTACCAAACCATATCGAGCAGTTGGAAGTATTTATTGACTGCGTGCTTAATCCACATTTCTTTCAAACTCGTTTTAAAGTTCAAAGCGGAATTGCCGAGCAGAAGAGCGGGCTACTGATTCAGAAGGAACAAGTGTGGATTGGAAATTCCGACTCTTGAATACACGACATCCTGGTAGCAAAAAAGCTCATACGCGTGTATTCCGTAATGGTGCTTAACCGTCTTGGCCTCCTCCAATTGTGTTTTCTATATATTCCCTATCTACCCTCGGCACCTATTCGCCCTGCACCACAAAGTCGGAATTGCGACTTACATATACAAGTTGTAGGTTAAAGTGGGAAGAACAACAGATTAGTAAGGAATCACGGGCCGTATGCACTAAAAACACGGTAGGGGAATGAAAAATTACTCCAAGGAAATTACTGCAAAGGGCACGAACGTTTATCATTTGATCGAAATTTTGTGTGTGGGCATGTCTCAGATAAGTGGCGGTTGAGCAGAAATTCGAGAAAACAGTCCGAAAGATCGATCTCGATAAGTTGTTGTTACGATTAAATAAAACAAGATTCGAAAGGAACGAAGAGCTTCATCTAGGAAAGCAATTCGACAGATTGGGACAGGACTTAATCCCAAAGTAATCAAGGAAATCACAGATGAGATTGTGGGGTATTTCGAAGCGCAGTTGAAAGGATGTGCGAACTTGAGTACGACCTTCCCTTGCATTGGGTGCAAATGTTTTATTTACTGTCCGATACTGTTGATGACGAAACGCCGACATGTATCCTATCCTACTATCCTACTTTATATAATTCGCTAATCTGTGTGTTTGTGTGTGTGCGCGATCGGAAATTCATAACTCCTATCCCCGTGGACCTAGAATGTTCAAACTTGGTAGGAGAAAAAGGGGAACACTTTCGGTGGGTGGCACGACCAGACTCCGCTCACAAGGGGCGGGGTTCGTGCGAAATAAATGTTTGAGGGGCAAAGCATCACTCCTGTCTCCATGGACCTAAAGCGTTCAAATTTGGTAGAAGTACGAGGGGCAGGATGGGAACTTTGGTGGGTGGCAGGACCGGACTCCTCACGCAGGGGGTGAGGCGTACGCGATGGAAATTTTGGGCCACAAATTCATAACTCCTGTTTAGGTGGACCTAGAGCGTTAAAATTTGGTAGGATTACTCTTTGCGTGGTAAAAGTGGAACCTCGGTGTTTTAATAAGTGATGTATGAAGAATATGACGAGATCGTAGGTACTCGGTTACAGGAACTGATAATAACTGGTAAGGGAAGATAAGGGACCTGAGAAAGGCCATCTACTAACCTAATCCCCAACGTCTGGTATTTACGATGTAGTTTTGATCGTTCAGCATGATTCATTCGGTGAAACGGGATGCTATAGTAGGGTGACAAAAGTGAATGATCAGTGCAGTGAAAGGGACCCATTAGCTGCAATACAATAAGCAGATGCAAATTTCGTTTATGTCTTGGAACCGCTTTTTAAGTAACTTAACACTCAACAGTATGCATGACCACTGATTACTGCTTGCTGTATCAAATTAAAACCAGAGCTGTACTTGGCGTATTAGCCAGAAGAGAAAGGGAGATAAGCGCCTGGACGAGTAAAGCAGTGAAATGCTCTACCTGATTATCGGCGCACCAACTCAATCCAAGGAGGATTCATCTCGCTACAATGGGGTAAGGTTGCTGTCACGAGAATCACCATTCCGTGAACTTTGCTAAGGTAAAGGTCGCAGAATTCTACATAACGTAACAATCCAGGGCTGATGATCTTTCACTTGTTTATGTCGAAAGTTAACACCGTGTTACGTGCTGACCTGTTAAACCAGCGCTGTATCAGAGACGAAAAGGAGGAGGGCACCAAATTGCATACCCTGGAATAACACGTTAAACCGCGTGAATTTCTTGTTATACCACCCCGACTATATTTCCACCCTTTCCATCGTCGCGTTCCCGAAAAACTAAGATGAGAAGAAGGCAAAATTCCGGGAACTTCTCTCTGAACACGGCGTCGCACACGCCGCACCCGCCGCGTATCGCAGGATTGCGATGGAAGATTGGAGCGCGCAATTTGCGAGGTAGGGAGTCCTTTAATTATTCGAATTGGCTGGCCGCTCGTTTCAATTCCAATGCGGTCTTGATAGTTGTTTAAATAGGAGAAGTCATTTTAATTAATCAAGTCTAATAAACATGAAAACGAAAAAGAAACAGAAGAAAAAACGATCAAATCCAATTAAAAAGCAAGGCAATCAACGGAAAATATCGCGTCCTATCGATTGGCGGGGAGGCGGGGTGAGTACGGTAATTGCAGTGACATTTGCCGCATGCCGCAAGGGAAAATGCCGCAATCCGGGAGAAATTCCGTTACCCGTGACCTCCCTTTCCCTACCTTCAGCGTTATGCGTGCGGCTTCCCATGCCCTGGATAGAATGCAGATAACTCGACATTTGTTAGTTAGCTTTCGTCACACAAATTTAACGAATATCTTATCCACAGGTTGTCCTTTCACCCGACGATAGATGTAGACTAACCTCAGTTACAATCAAAACGAGTTGTTTGAATTTTCCTCATGTGTTACATTCTTATTATTAGAAGGACTTGAGAATCATCTTTACCCTTCAAATTTTCCATCTCTTGGGTGGTGGGATTTGTGGCCGAACTTCCATCGTTGCGCGCACGAACGTGATGAATTTTTGACAGTAATCTTGCGGAATCCGTATTGAACGTATTCATCCACTGGAACTTTATAGCGGCTGAAAGTTCGGAAACAAATTCACGCATACCTACATTTTCCCCGAATTACAATATCATCACTGACGCAATATCAGTAACAACACGATGGCAAATGGTCGCATCAACCGAGGCAGCCCTCAAATGGATCCGAGAGTGAAACGGATAAGCAACACGTGAGTACCTGCCCTCCAGTCGATGCAGATCTAATCCATACTCACTTAATGAGTTTTCGAGAATTAGGTGCTTTTATTTTGCACAAAACTGCTGAACATGCAGTCTATTACCAGAATGAGAAGGCGCCACCTCCGGCTGACCTCCTATCAAAGCGCCTGCCTGCCCTTATCCAACCATCAACCGCTTAATTTTTTCTTCAACCTGAGTAGTCTCCCTTCATATTTCACAGTTCGTTGTTTTTCGTCATATTCTTATTTACCTCGCAGATATACGAAAAACAATCCTCAGAAAAAACTGAAGAGTGAAATATGTAGTACTATGAATTGTGACTCCAATAATGTTAGTTCCGATAGGCGAGCCCGCGGATGTTGGTACTTCTGTCTGAATTTCCAATGCAAATAGCAGTGGCTTTGCAGGAAATATCGTAAAATCCCACTGGGAATTTAAATTTTTTCCTCCATGCCAAGGGTAAAGATGCGTTTGGATGTAAGAACCTACACCCGTTTCCACGTCTCTACCTGCGTTTTCTTAGTGAGAGAGTTAATATCCTTCTGAGCGATTCCTCTTCCATTCCATCTTTCCGCACAGAGCCAGATATTTACAATTCACGGTGCTCCTCCTCAGGTACGCTTTAATTCCATGGGTGTTTGCCACGCGATTCGGGTAGCGCGCGGCGCATGAGATCGTCATCTTGAGCGCTATGCAATGCTTCATTTCGGATTATTTTCCTGCGTGCGGGTATTCGAATGCAACTTAGAATACTAAAAAGGATTGGCATCTGCTTGTAGAAGAAGCAAAGTGGAAGTAGAATGGGGGTGTCGAGTTTTTTTTTTTCATGTAGAACGCATCAACACACATGATTCTACCATTTCTGCCCTTTAACATGTGGAAGATGGAGGACAGGAAAATAGGAAAATTTTACATAGGAAAATAAAGGAATATGAAATAGAGGTAGTAAGGTGGTGACTGAAAAGTTCCCCCACTGAAACGTGCAGAACCGCAGCATCCCCAATGTTGCATTCCTATGTCCACACGAGGAAAAACTATTCAAACCAAGATATCCTAACACGGTTCAAACGTGTCCACTTCCAGATTGCAGTGGTCTGCGCCGCGCGCAACTGTGCGGGATGAATTAAGCTCATCGACGACAAATTATA